CCTCGCCCACAGCACGTCCCTGGGCAGACTCACCTCCTTGTAGGCCTGCAGGTAGGACAGCACCTGGAGGAAGTGGTGGCGGGAGGTGGCATCTGCTGGCACCTTCCCAAAGCAGAGCAGGGCCGGCTGCGTCAGGTTCACCATCAACCTGCGAGGGAGCAGAGGCGTGTGAGGGACCCCTGCCCAGCAAGGAGCCCCCGCAGGGCCACCCCCAACCACGACCCTACCCCCCGATACCTGATGACAGCGTCGAAGAGCACCTTTTCCTGGGGGTACTGCACCAGGATGGGCAGGAGGTCGTTCTGCAGGATTTGGGCTGCCCCCAGCTGCTGTCGCACGTCCCGGCTCTCATCCTCGTGGCGCAGGTACCGGATCAGGTCCTTGACGCTCTCTGGGGACACGGGGCCGTCAGTCCTCGCCGTCCCTGTCCCGTCGCCCCCTCCCCAGTGCCCACCTACCCAGGCAGTCGGGCTCCCGGTGGTACACGTCGCCCTCCAGGTAGCCCAGGGCGCTGCAGGTGGCCAGGAGCTCGCAGTTCATCATGTACCAGTCCATGCAGCGCGGGGCTGCACACGGGACCGGCACCGGCACCGGGGGCCACCTGCGGGCCACTGTCAGCGCTGGGGACCCCCGCGCCGGGGCTCCCCCGGTACCGGCCCACCTGCTGGTCCCGGTCCCCCTGGGACATCCTCCGCTCCCGGTCTCCCTGACACCGACAAACCTCCCAGGCCTGGTCCCGCTCGGTACCGGACCCCACCGATGCCGCAGCAACCCCCGGGCTCCGTTACCGCCTCGATCCCCGCGCACCTCCCAGTCTCGGTCCACCCCAAGCCCCGGTTCCTCCGGTTCCATAACATCCCCGCCCAAAATTTGGGCTCCCCCCGAATCCCACTCGGCCCCGCTGCCTTCTCGATCCCGGAGCATTCCTGACCCCCCCCACGACCGATCCCGGATCTCAGCCCCCAGTTTCCCCCGGAGCCCCCTAATCCCGGAGCACGCCCCGGGCCCGCCGATCCCGGAGCACCCGGAGGTTCCCCCGATCCCGTATCCACTCCCCCGTTCCTATCCCGTCCGATCCCGGAACATCCCCCTGCTTTCCGTGACCCCGGAGGACCCCCAGTCCCCGGTCCCGGGCCACTCCCCGCCCGCGGACCCCCCGATCCCGGTCTCCCCCGGTGCCGGACCCCGTCCCCGCCGCCCTCCCGGCCGGTTCCCATCCCGCTCACCGCCGCCCCGTCCCCGCCGCGCTCCCGGCCGCGCTCCCGGTCCCGGCGCGGGGGCGGCGTTACACAACCGCCCCAGTTCCCGCGGCCGAGGCCCCGCCCCGCCGCACCCTGCAAGCGGCAACTCCCCTCAGCAGCCCGGTGCTCCCTCCGGTGCCGCCCTCACTCCGTCCACCACGGCACAAACCGGCGGCTCGGAGCCCCGGGGTGCCCCCAGCCCCCTGCCCTCGCCCCCCGGCCCGCGGCGCTGCGGGGTGGGAGACGGGAGGGGTTCGTTGCGGAGCGGGGCCGCGGTGCTGGCGTTGCCCTTTTAAGAACGGCGCGGGCTGGGCGGAGCCCGCCCCGGGCGCGGGAACGGGCGGCACCTCCCGCCGCCCGCCGAGCGGGCTCCGGTGTTCCCCTCCCACCCCAGCTCGGTGCCTCCCGGTTCCCGGCGCCGGGCACGGCCGCGAGCGGTTACCAAAATAAAAGAGCAGGTTTAATTCACCGAACACAGAAGTCCCGTCGCGGCGGGGCGGGGCGGCCCCGGCCCGGTACGGGCGGCCCCGGGCGGCCGGTTCCCGGCAGCGGGGCCCCGCCGCCGCCCGCCCGCCGCGCCGCGCCGCACACACACGCACCACACGCACCGCGGCGGCCCCGTCACAGCAAAGCAGCGGCGGGCGCGGGGCCGCGCCCCGGGACGGGCCCCGTTACAGCCCCTGCGTCTTCAGCTCCAGCGGCTCCGCCGGCGGCTCGGGCGGCGGCTCGGTGGCGGCGGCGGCGGCGGTGACGGCGGTGGGGGCGGGCGGCTCTCCCTTGAGGGCGGCCAGGCGCTCGGCCAGGCTGCGCGGCCGCGGGCACAGCGCGAACTCGTACAGCACCGCGCCCAGCGCCGCGCCCAGCAGCGGGCCCGCCCAGTACACCTGCGGGGGGGCGGCGTGGGCACCGGCACCGGGGGACCCCCGGCCCCCCGCCCTCCGGGGCACGGCACCCACCCCGCTGACGCTCGGGCGTCGGGGCCACCGGTTTCCCGGTGAGCGGGGGACGGCCGCGTGTGCCCTTCCCCGGGATATCGGGGCGCAGGACGCGTCTCCCGCTCCCCGGGATATCGGGGTGCACCCAGCACCTTGGGCTGCTGCTGTCACCGCGGTGACACCGGCAGCCGCCCGCCTTTGCTGGGGACACAGCGGCTGGGGCAGGACAGGGACAAGCAGGGAGGGACTGGGGGGGCCCGGGGCGGGTTTGGGGGTCCCCGTCCCCCCCCACTTACCCAGTGGTTGGCGAAGTTGCGGGTGATGACGGCGGGGGCGAAGGAGCGAGCGGGGTTCATGCTGGCGCCCGTGTAGTGGATCTGGAGGGGGATGGGGCAATGGGGGGCTGCACAGCTGCCCCCCAGCCCCTTCCCAGCCCCCGGGGTCCCAGCACGAGGGTCCCCGCGGCCGCCCTTACCCCAAAGAGGTGGCCGAGGGCGAGGGAGAAGCCGACGGGCACGGCGGCCACGGCCGGGCGCCCGTCGTGACGGTCATCGTAGCTGGCGAAGACGCAGAGGACGAACTGGGCGGTCAGGAGCAGCTCCACCACCGTGCCCTGGCCCGGGCCCACCCCGGGGTGCAGCTGCGTGGGGAGAGGGCTCAGCTCCCCGAAAAGTTGCTCCCCCATTCCCCCCAGCACCCCAAATCGTCCCTCGTTATCCTTCCACACCCCAAAACCCCACTGTACCACAAACCCCAAACTCCTCTGGGACGCCCAGCTCCCATTACTGTCCCACATCAATCCAAACGCCAAAACATCTTCTGGAAACCCCCCCCCCATTCACCATCAGACCCCTCAAACACCTCTGAACCCCAGAACCCCCATTACAGCCCCATAGTATCCCTAAACACCTCCTGGACCCCCCCCCCCCCCCCCCCCAATTTTCATAAACCTCTCTGAACCCCTCACCCCCCATTACACCCCCATGGTACCCCAGATCCCAAAACACCCCCTGGATTCCCCCAATCCTTCCAAATCCCCATTACAGTCCCAAAGTACCTCAGACCCCCAAACACTTCCCGGAGACCCCAATCCCCCCAAACCCCCATTACAGCCCACACCCCACTGCCACACCCCACGGTCCCCCAGCCCTGCAGACACACGCAGCCCCCCGGTTCTCCCCCCGGTGCCCCTGCTCACCGCGCTGAGGCCGAGGGTGCCGCGGACGGGGCCCGGGGTCACCCCATAGAGCACCCCGGCGCCGGCCAGCATGCCCAGCACCTGGGCCAGCAGGTAGCCCAGGGCACGGGGCAGGGAGAGCTGCGAGGCCATCAGGAAGGCCAGCGTGATGGCCGGGTTGACGTGGCCCCCGCTGACATGGCCCAGCGCCTGCACCAGGGTGGTCTGGGCCAGCCCGAAGGCCAGGGCGGCCCCCACGACGCTGGGGGGGCCCGGGGCCCAGCGCAGGGAGGCCCCCAGCCCCAGCAGGGCATAGAGGAGGCTGCCCAGGAACTCGGCCAGGACGGCCCTCCAGAAGGCGGACGAGCGCAGCTCCCGCATGGCCTGGCCCCGCTGCCCTCCACGGCCCCGCTCCCCTCCCCGGGGGCCGCCCGTGCCCACCTTTATAAGCCCCCCCCGGGCCGGCCCCGGGGGTGGGATCGCACCTCCGCCACCCCCCCGTTAACCGCTTCGCTGCCCGGGGCACGGGACAGGTGACAGGCGGCGAGGATCTCCCCCCCGAGCCCCCCGCACCCCCCGATAGCGGGGAGCCCCCCAGAGCTGCGCCGCCCCCATCCCTGGGGTTGCCGGGGGAGGAGGAGGGGGGGCTGTGACCCATGGGTGCCACCAGCGGGGTTTAGGGGACCCCCTTGCTCGGGGCCAGCACTGACACACCTCCCACCCCAAACCCCCCCCCCTGAAATGTTTTGGGGACATTTTGGGGCAACCCCCGCTGGGAGCCGCCCCCACCCCGCGGGAGGGGCTCTGGGTGGGCCCCCCAAGGCCAGCCCCGCTGGGGGCTGCGGGGTGTCCCCCCCGCCCCCGGTGCTGTTGTCTGCGGGAGGGTTTATTCAGCCCGGCTTAGCGGGCGCTGAGTCCCCGGCCGGGGGGATTAGGGCTCGGCCCGGCCATTGGCGCCCGCCGGAATCTGCCGGGGCTGCAGAGGCCGCACAAAGCGCTTTGCTGCGCTCAGCTCCCCGGCACGGGACGGGCTGACGGGGGTCCCGGCCCCCGCCCGGCCCGGGGGGCCGCGGGGAGGGCGCACCCGCCCGCGGCCCCGGTGCCGCCGCGCACCGAGAGCGCGGGGCGGTGGTCGGGACACCCCGGCCCCTCACAGCATCACTCCGCACCCACCTGCGACCCCAGCACGCCTTTAATCCCCGCACGGGGCAGAGGACAGTCAAAGGGGAGGGGGCACGGAGGTTCCCATGGGTGCCTCACGGAGGTTCTGGCGGCGGCGAGGATCCGGTGTCGGGGTGCGGAGGATCGGGGGGATTCAGGCAGATCCCTGCTCCCGCTGCTCGGCTGGAGGGGCCGGGGGGCCGTGGGCCACCGAGGAGGGGGACAGGCTGGGGGTCTCCACCAGAGCCACGTCCCGGCAGGCGAGGCAGGCGCCCAGCTTCTCCCGGGAGGCTCCGGGAGCCAGGATGAACTCGTAGGAGAGCCCGGCCAGCACCGCGCCCAGCACCGGCCCCAGCCAGTACACCTGGAGGGGCACAGGGAGCTGGGGTGTCCCAGGGACAGGGGGGACAGGGGACCCCACCCCAGGGATGGGGACCGAGCAGAGGAATCTGCCCCAGGGATGAGGGCAGCCGTGGGGACAGGGTGTCACTTGTTTGGGGTAGGGGGACTGGGGAAAGGGGCCCATCCCAAGGATGGGGATGAGGTGGGGCTTGTCCCAAGGATGGCAATAGGGGACACACACCGGTCCTGCGATGGTGACATCATGAGGACCTGGGGGACACAGCTGGTGCTGACTTATCCCGGGGGGACCCAGCCAAGGGAAGGGAAGACCGGGAACCGCTGTCCTGGGCTGGGGATGGGGCCACGGTGGTCTCACGTGGCAGCCGGGGGACCCACCCTTACTTGGGGACTCTGGAGGAGCCCAAGGGTGCCCCCAACTCACCCAATGATCATCCCAGACACCGGTGACGACGGCCGGCCCCAGCGAGCGTGCGGGGTTCATGCTGCCCCCCGAGAACGGCCCCTGTGGGAGACGGGGGGGTCAGGGGCTGCTGGGGTGGGGACCCCTGGGTGGGTGGGACGCCGGGGGTCCTTACTGCGGCCAAGGCACCGGCGGTCACGGCGCTGCCCAGGGCCAGCCCGGCCTGCGGGGCCGCGTGCTCAGCGGCGGCGAAGGCGGCCAGTGCCAGCTGGAAGGTGGCGAAGGTCTCCCAGGCCAGCGCTGTCCCCGCCGTCCCCACCGCGCTCACCTGCGGGAGGGACACCTGTGCAGTGCCAGGTGACGGGGATGGAGACGGGGACGGGGGCACTCACCCTGGTGACCAGGCCGCTGTCGTCCGGCAGCGCCACGCGGGCAGCGGCAGAGGCCAGCGTGGCCCCCGTGCACTGGGCCAGGACCCCCGCGGCCCCGCGCAGGGCGCTCAGCTTGCGGGTGCACAGCAGGGCCAGCGTCAGCGCGGGGTTGGCCTGGGGCCCCCCGAGGGTGCAGACGAGCCCCCCGGCCACCAACCCCCCCGCCAGCGCCGGTGCCAGTGGCCCCGGGGCTGCCGAAGCCCCCAGGACCACCCCCACGAAGATGAGGGTCGCCGTCAGCTCCGCCAGCACCCCCCGCCAGAAGCGGCCGCTGCGCAGCTCCTGGGGGGACAGCGGGGCCGGGGGTCACCCCACGGGCACTGCCAGCTGCAGGTGGCACAAAGAGGGGGTGACACAGGGGCGGGGGGCCTTGGGGATGGGGTATCTCAGGGCTGGGGTGCACAAGGATTGGGTGTCTCGGGGGGTGGGGTGCCACGGCAACAGGATGCCCCAGTTTTTGGGTACCAGGGTGATGGGGTGTTTTTGTGAGGGCACCCCCCCAGCACTGGGGTACCACAGTGAGGGGTCTCTCAGTGATGGGGTACCCTGGTGATGGGGTACCCTGGCAACAGGATGCCCCAGGTTTCAGGTACCCACAGGGATGGGGTACCTCAGAGATGGGGTCCCTTGGGGATGGGACCCCTCAGCACCTGGGCACCGCAGTGAGGGGCACCTGGGCTATGGGGTGCCATGGAAACGATGCCCCAGGTACCACGGGGATGGGGTACCTCAGGGATGGGACCCCTCAATCCTTGGGCACTGCGGTGACAGTGGGGACAATGGGAACAATATCCTGGCAATGGGGCCACGGTGGGGAACACGCAGAGACCCCTGTGCCAGGGCTGCGGGCTGGGCACTGAAGTGACAGGTTTGGGGAGTCCCCATGAGTTAGGGGCTGCTCACCCACCCCCCTGGCATGGAGGGAGTGGGGCTGTGGCTTTGGGGGGGCTGGGGGGGTCGGGGCCGCTCGCAGGGTCTTACCTCCCCGATGGCCATGGTGCAGCTGTGGGAGAGGGGAGAGCAGAGCACACCCGGGGCAGGTGCACCTCCTACCCCCTGGCACTGCCACCCCTGTCCCTGTCACCCCCTTGGCACAGGGCAGCCCCGAGGTGCTGAGGGTGGGGCAGGATTTTGGGAGGGGGCTGGGGGAGTCCTTGGCTTGGGCTTGGAGCATCCCTGGGTGCCATGGCAACCCCCAGGACCCTTTGGGGTGTTGCCAGGACAACCAGAGATGAAAGGCCGGGATGAAAGGCTGGGGGGGATGGGGGGGGGTCACACATTTGGGGTGAGAGTGGGGACAGGGCTGTTCCTGGGA